ATTGATCAAAGTGGCTGTTAAAAATCTGAGTTATAGCCCTTCAGTGTCACATTCACTGTTAGGCTTCTACAAAATTCTAGAGTATGTACAGGCATTAGTTGTTCCTTTAAACAGGGACATTCCTTTGAACACCCCCCTCTAATTCATGCATAACTCAACCAATAAACTCAAAAAAATAGAGAAATGTAGATAAATACATGTACTATATATATATGAATTCTGAAGGAAATTGATTCAGTAGAAAAGTGTATAGAAATTCAATACTGCTGAAATTGAATGAATTCCAAATATGAGACTACTGACAAATTTTTTACTACTACTTATGCTACAGTGTTCAACATAAAAATTATATTATTGTATTTCTCTAGTTTAGAGCTACAATATGTATGTTTTATAATATTGAATGGACCAGTCCTTAAATTAATATTTTGTAATTTGTTAAAAATGCTCAAAAAGCATGACAAGAGAGTAAAATGATCGGCATTGATCTACATTAATCTGCACTGATCTACACTGACCTACAGTCCTAATGACACATTGGTTGAGAGTATTAGTCTGTAACATTTGCTAAATAAATAATTTTTTCTCTCTTTTTGTTCCTCATCTCTTAACAGTCCTATTCTATAGTAAAGTATGCTAAATCTAAATCATTACAGAGGAGAGAAAAGAAAGAGGAGCAGGAAAAAAATATTGCTAAAGTAGTGGAAATGTACCAAGCTGAGCTTGAACAGCTACTAGAAAAGCATCAGGGGTTACAAAAAATAGCTGGCATGTTTGAAGGAGTTACAGTGAGCACATTGAGAAATAGGGTGGCTGAAAAACAATCTATTATAAAGTTCAGTTCTTCAAAAACAAAATTGATTGAGGAGGATGAGATTGCTCTTACCTAGCTGATTTGTATTTTGTCTGACAGAGGCTGTCCATTCACACACAATAACATTCAATGTACAGCAGATTGACTACTTGAAGCACAAAATGGACCTAATTACACAAAATGTGGATCTAAATTTGTACATTGTTTCCTTGAGCATTACTACAATGAATTGAAAACCTACTAGAGTACTCACTTAGATACTCAGTGAGCAAATGGAATGAATCCTACAGTAGTTAATTAGTAGTTTGATATAGTAGAGAAAGAGATAGTGTGAAAGGGTGTCTTACCTGAGCATATCTTTAGGATAAATGAGTCTGGGTTCCCTCCTACTAATGATAGTGTCAGACAAGTTGTTGGTTCTAAGGGGAAGAAGATTCAGTATAAGCAGGGGGGCAGAAATAGGGAGAATGTGACTGTACTTGTTACAATCTGTACAAATGAGTCTTACCTGAAACCAGTTGTAATCTTTAAGGGCCAGAATCTCTAGTTTAGGTGGACTGAGAACAATATTTTGAATGCTTAGTGAGTAATTATACTCATAAAATTAAATAAAACTTACTTTTTGTCCAGTTTCACTAGTTCTCCTAGTGGCTCAACTAATGCTGATATTACTCTAGACTGGTTTCAAAATCATTTTGAGTCTAGTACAAGAGAGTAGGCTAATAGATGTACTTGAGTTCTTATTCTTAATAGTCATAGCTCACACTATTCTCTAGACCTCTTGGATACAGCTACTGAATACAATGTCAGTATTCTCACCTATCCACCTTATTGTACACATACATTGTAGGGTTTGAATGTAGTATATTTTGGAAAGATGAAACAAATATGGAAGAACTTGATTGATGAATTTGAAGCATATGTATTATGACTAGTAGGAAAACAGGATTTCTTAGGGCTATTTGGAAGGGCATTCTTACTTGCCTTTGACTAGCAGACTATTCAGTCTGTATTCAGGGTTACAGGAATCCATCCATTCAACTAGGAAGTCATTTCTACAGACCAGATGAGACTGAGTAAAGTTGGTTCAAGTAACTCCACCCTTCCTATATTATTATCCCCCCTGGTTTGTTGTATTATAGCTGTATATCATTATCAGCCTCTAACCAGTTTTAATGTTGATCTATCAACACACCTGCCTGCTAGCCAGCCACTTGCATTACTATCTCAAACCCTAGTCCACCCAAACACTCATTCTTGTAGTAATAGTATTATTATGTTAATACTGAACTCAGATACCAGTTTTCCTAGTAGTAGTACTATTCTGTTACTATTACAAGCCCACATTAATGCCAATTCTCATAATAGTAGTATTATTCTATTACTACCACATGCCAACCTTGATACTAGCTCATATAACAGTAGTATTATTATGTTACTACTACACATTCTAGTTATTGACCCAGCTATTAATCTTTTACTGTACACACTAACAAAAAGAATATGCTTGATGTACTCATTACTTACAATGTCAGATTCTGTAAGTTTTCTTGTAAAAAAAGAAAGACTTACCTCCTTAGAAACACTCCCACTACCTGTCTTAGAGAAGGTCCTACTAAGTTCTAAAGAGCCAGATTAGAGACTCATAAATCTGTGCTTGGAAAAGTTAGTAGGACAAGAACTCAGGGACAAAGTGAAGGTGCTTACTGAAAACATTACCTGGGCCTGCCAGCACATTGAAATGAGCTGAAGCATTACAGAAGGGGCCCAAGTACAGCTTGTTCTAGCCTCCCTTCTTAATACTAAACTCTAGAATACTCTATACAAGAAGGAAAAAGGAAAAACAACAGAGAACTCACAGATATTTGATGATAGAATGCTAAAGATTATGACCTTAGATAAGACCAGGGAAAAGCTTAGACAGAAGAAGGAATACAGGGAAAGGGAAGAGAAGGAGGTTCAGACAAGAAAGGAGGAGACTAAAAGGAAGAAGGAAGTTAATACAATTGAAAGTGAATGGAAACAAATCAAGACTCACTATGATGAAGAGCTTACTAAATGGTAGGCTAAATACTCTACTTAGAGGGAGGAAGGGCTCCTAAAGGCTTATTAAAGCCCTAGACCTTCTAGACTAACAAAAAACAAGTTTAGAACAACATAATACAAGAGAGGGGCCTTAATAAAGAAGAAGCAGTGTCTGGATGTAGTGAATACAATCTAGACCTGTAAAGATGTGACAAATAATGTAGGAATTTCACCTGAAGGTGTAGATATGACTATAGAACAATTGCCTGTATAAACAAGAGTAAGAGGAGTGAGCTAAGAGTGAACATAAGAGTGTGAGTTGAGAAGATAAGGGTGGACAGGTTGAATGTGTGCTAGCATAATAGAGTGTTACAGGGGTGTTTAAAGGAACAACTTTTGTGACAAAATCTCACTTTTTTCTTATCTTCATATTAATTTTTTTACAGCACTTAATAGCTTGGAAAAATTCAGGCATATAGTATTATACATATAATCATTAGATACATAAATTTTTAAGTAAATTTTTGATGTAGAAAGAAATGTGGGGGAAAACAAAATTGGTGTTTAAAGGAACATTTAATACCTGTAGTCAGAGTCTAAGAGTTCTAAGGTGACTTCTAGATTTATAAAAAAGGCTTCTTACTACAAATCCTGCTTATTACTCATTATTACTCTAATAACCTAACAGATATACTGTTGCTTCTGTAGACAGTCCTTAATTTAGTGACCTGACTTTCTGTAGACAAAGTATACTCCTTACTTTCAGGCTTCTCTAATGTTTATTAGAACAGATTGATTGTAAGTTACAGGCAGATTAATCTGAGGACTTAGAACTGTCAGAGTTAGACACATGTACAGTTGTTCTGTACAGACTTAATGTATTCAAGCTGTAGCTTGGTTAAAGGAAATAGTACAAGTCTTCTAGTTAGTGTAAGTAATCAGTTCTAGTATTATTCTAAGAATCTTATTAACCAGTTCTGAGTAAAGAGCTTTTTCAAGCATTCTAATAAGGACATTATTGAATCTGAGTACAAATTCTACCTTCTGAGCCAGAATGTTGAACTTTTGAAAGAAGGTATTGGCAGAACATTTACCCTGTTACAAAAATGTAAGCTTATTCTACACATTGTACTTCTTGTTCAGATTAATAAAGGAAGTACAGAGCTGTCCTATAAAATCCAAATACAACTCATTGTTCTGAAGTTGGATCAGGCTTCTAATCTAATGTTCTTCAATCCAGTTCTAGGCCTAGGTGGCTGTATTACCTTCTATCAAGATCTAAGAATAAATCAGTCAAAGTAGTAACTATTAAAACTCCTGTAATGTGTTTAAGAGAAGAACACAGGTGATTTGTTAAGTTTGAGAGGGAGCTAAACCACAAGTCTTATGTGAGTAGAGTGGTTCTGAACAGGTGCAAGTTCTTCCAGTACAGTTACAACCTTAGAAGAGAGACATGAATAATAGAAAGTGTACTTGTGAAGCACACAACAAAAACAAACTGATACTGAAAACAACAAAGACTAAGACTATACCTTATACTAGAGAACTTTGAGACAAATGACAAGAGCTAAATTAATGGGTGAACTATCTGAATTCCCCCTGTATTTAGTACATGAGTAACTGTATTTATAGTTTTCCAAGTTCTGGAAAAGTATAGTACTAACAGGGAAATGTTATGACTGAACAAAAGAAAAATAACAAAATATACAAGAATAAATAAGAGAACCTTTTGCCAGAGGTTGGAAGAAAATGGGGGTGAAAATGTATAAGGAAAATTTAAGTGGTCTGCATTCTGGCCACAGGAAATGTTATACAAAAGGAAAAACAAGATTTACATTAAAAGAAGTAGAAGGTTCTCATACTGTTACCATCTGATTCAGTGTAGACAAAGTGTGGAGAGTTCTGAGATTTCTGACTGTCTTCTAAGCTTATCACTTTGATTGCCCTAATGTTCCTATCTGATTGGAAGATTGTAGTTCTTTGATTCAGACAGACAATAATAATGTAGTGGTTTGCTGAGCCACTTACTGTAACACAACTTGTGTGTAAGGTAACTCACTGTTCCTCACAAGAGAATTCTTATTATGAGATGATTAGTTCATTAACAGACAAACCACAAGACAATGACTTTATAATGTCTCAGTTAGAATACATACAATATAAGGATGAGAGACACTGAGCAGTCAATTGTCACCTCACCCCTTGTCTATGTGTGCCCCCCTTAAGTTCTCCCTCTCAACAGGTTATGAGCCTTGAGCTCCCTGCATACACACATCCACTGTACACTCTAAATTCTTTACTTGCATACATTTGCACACATTTGCATCATGGTTCCCCCACGTACAGATATGTGCTGTAAACCAGCCAATGTACCTAAATACTTCAGTCAAAACATTACAATGCTTAAGACTGAAGCAAACTACAAGATGTGGCACTACTGTATTGTTTCTAGTGTTGCAGCTATGTGCTTCAAACACTTACTAAAGGATGAACCACAGAACGAAGCTGAGAGAGAGATGGCTAAGGCTATTCATGCATGCATAGTCAATAACATTGCCAACACAATATTGGCAAACTATATGTACTTCAATATGTCTATCCCTCAGTTAATGAAAGTGCTTGAAGAATGCTTTAACCCTCAGACAGTACATAAAAAGGCTATCAATGAATCAGTACTGTTTATTTGTAAAGACTATGTAAAACATTTCAGACATACATTAGACAGACTTGAGGAAGCATACACAACTCTGTCTACTAACAGTGATCCACCATACAACTCTACATACAAAGCAGTAATATTGCTTACTACTCCTGAGCAATATACACACATAGTAAATACAATAATACAATCTACTGATGCCCAAAACAAAGGCAAACCAGTCAATAAACATAAGAAAGTCAAACCAAAGTAACTAATCCTTGTATTGCAGAATGCCTACAACAATTACTGTGCTAAACGAGCACAAGATTCTAATGATTGGACAAAGAATAATGCACACATTAATACAATGTATAAAGCTAATAAGTGGAGGAAATTCAATCTGCCAAATCCGTTCAATCCGACAAAAGCAAAATGTTTCAATTGCAGAAAAACAGGACATTTCTCTAAGGAATGCTGCAAACCTCCTACTAAAGCTATAAAGCTTGCATGCACCAAACATCAGGCTAACATTGTACATAAAACAAATCAAACTGTGGAAAACACAACAAACACATTTATTATTGAAAACCCAAACGAAAACAATGTTGAATTAAAAGAAGGCAATGTTGAAATGAACAATAATGCCTATGCTCTTATTCTGAGCAACCAGGACAAACAATTCGAACAATACGTTTCCTGGGTATGTACCAATGTATTTACAAATACAATCATAGCTAACAAGAAATCCTATACACAAACAATGGATTTACTCAATTCTAGTGTATCAATACATGCTACTCCTTATCTATTTTGATTAACAGATGTACACAACATAACTCCTACTATTGTAACTATTGCAAATAGGTCAACAATGACTCTTA